ACATACGGGGGTTTACGCGCATCCGAAGCAGTGACAATTACGGGTACATGTCCACGCACGGATCGTAATTTACGCACTCGAATAACGGTAGTTCAGAGACGATTCTTTCATATAAGGAGTATAAAGGACAGTTGGATTATTCAGCACCCTCTCCTGCGACCGGGATGCAGGAGAATCAAGCGTGATCCGCGAGCTCGGGCTCCACCATTACGATCCTCTTCATTCTTTACGCGATCATGATTCTCAGGAGAAATCTAGGGAACAACCTAATCACGGAGCAGCACCTCTTATGGGACTTGAAGCCGAGGGGTCAAACGTATTCTGTGAGTTTGGCCTCTACCAATATGATCCCGCTTACCGATTCTTAGAGGACTTTCCGGAATAGTCAAGGTATTACATAGGCACCAGCCCTCCTGGGATCTAAACGCATAGGAATCAAGCGTGACATGTGAACCTCAGCTTAATCAATGTGATCCCCGCTGGTATTTTGGTGATACTGATCTATAAAAGGAATATAGGGAGCAGTTCGATACCAAGCACACCTCTTGGGACTCAGAGGGATCAAGAGTGATCTCTGAGCTTGAGCTCCACCAAGATGATCCCCTCTGTTCCTGTGCCACCTCTCTCTCAGATCTTGACCAAAAGCTTTGTTGGAATCTTGGAAATTAAAGGAAAAGGAGAAAGAAAATGCGGTCCACCCAGAGCAGAACATGTCAAAACAAGCCGGGCGCCACAAAGACTGCAAATACATCCCCCTTCCCATTCCCGCAACGTTCCCTGGCGAACTTGAACACTTAACTTACTGATACTATTTGATGCTTACTTTAAGCCCAATTTTCACAAGCATATGGCGTGGAAACGTTCGCCGCGTGCGCAACGGGAACCAGCGCCACAACTGCTCTGGGGCACCGGCGCCTGTGGTGTGGGCTTCAGGTGTTCTCGCTCTGTGTAGTTGTGACATTCGTGCTCACTAAGTGTTCGCGGTTACAGATTTGCCGAAAAAAAACTAAGGACATGGATCGCTATGTTCTTAAAAAAAAGAAGTTTTTGAGTCCGTTCGGCTTGAGGGAAGGGGGAGGGGAGTGCATTCCGGACTTTCGCTACTTCCCATCGACGCGTTCGTTGGTAGTCTTAGAAACTTTGACTAGTACCACCTCATGACTTCGGAAGATTTCTCAGATTTGGTGCCTACTGGAACTACCACGAAATCAGTAAAGAGTAAAGATCAACGCCAAGCAGTTCACATATTGCAGTACAGTAACAAAATACTCGTAATGTGATGTCGAAGTCCCAAATAGACGGACAAGAGACAAACATGACGTTCTACTTGCATTAGGAATAAGAAGATAGTAAAAATTCACTTGTAGCTGATAATGTCACAATTAGTCGGAGCAAGCCGAGAGGGGCGGAATGAGCCCGCCTCCGACTGCCTTGCTCTACCAATAGCGATCGGTTGGTGATCGCTTTCAAACGAAATTACCAATGGCGGAAACGCAGTGATGGGCTCATTCTAACCCGCTCGAAAACGGCCGATCGATTGCTAATTTATGTCAGAATGCCAAAAGTCACTCGCAAAATGAACATGACTACTACAAGGCTAAGAAAGCTCGCATTCTTATGACATAGCTATGACTTGCTTGTCCCAACAGAGGTAATGTGGCTCAGTAAAGATAAATCCTCTAACATGAGTGCAACACTCCTTCGTGATAAAGATTGAATTCCTTCTCATTGTTCTTCAAAAACTTCAGAGTATCTATTCGACACAATAGAAAAAAGCGGTAGCGTGCTGTGACAGAGTAATGCATCAATAATAGACCACAACCAATATGCTGAATGGTCGTACTTGGTCGGCAGAACATGAAAGGATGGATTTACTGAAGAACTTTGAGGAAAACTCGACGGAAAGAAGGTGGGACTTTCAGGAAACTTGGGAGGATTATTAAAGTGCGGAGAGGGAAAGTGTGGGGTCGTACTGCAGAACATTTTGAAAAAGAGTCGTACTATGCGAAAATATTCCTAGTAACAGGACATGCCCTGTCTGCAATGGCAGAATGGATGCCAAACCGCTCTGGCAAGCTAAATAGCAGGACCCTGACCCGTTGAAGCAAAAAGCGTGAGCTTTAATCTAAGAAAAGGGTAAAACTGCGCTGAGGCGGTGGCGTGGACGTGAATATTTGAACCAAGAGCCAACTGTCTTGCTTGTCAGTAGTAGGAGGGGCTATCTGTTACTGCCCAAGCGCGCCACTGGTGTGTAGGTGAAAGTTGACCCGACAATAAGATACCCTTACGAGTAGAAAATTCTCAACCTCCTTACCCCTTAGCCTACAACTCACAAACTTTCCTACCTAGACAGAAAGTGATCAGATTATCATCCCGATGAGGAAAGTTTTAAAATATGGCCGTTACCCAGGAATACACTGCATATCACCTGTCCACTGGAGGGGGAGGAGGTGAGTTATAATGAGGGGCAGTGGGGAGAAGAGCGAGCTTTGGGCAGAAGAATGGAAAAAACCCCACATGGACAAATATGGACCTCTGCCTGTCGAAATCGAAAAGATGTTGAACGATGATGTGCCCCGCACTCAAACTAGTTTAATACAAGTATGGTAAAAAAAAACCTTAAAATGTACCCATCGAGTTTTGAACACCCATCCACACCCAGGGTCCTGTATGCACAATGCTTTCGATTGCTATTATTCCAAAGCTATTCAGTCCCAAGGGAGATGAAACTTTCTTTGGAATGGCCATTCATCAGATTTCCGCTTGGAACGGCTGTACCGCATGTGTACAGAAAGGGAGAAACCTTCTACAATGAGCGAAACCATACGAAGCTGTTTCAAAATGCTCAAAATATCAGGTGTGACTGACAAAATTCGGAAAATTACTGAGACAGTACATTTTCCTCAGGCGAACCCATTGAAAAAATTTTCTTTAGTACCTTCTGAGGCACAAAAGTAATGAAACCCAGTAATCAACTTGGGCAAAACCAGTTCCTCCGTTTCAAGAGGTCTGGGAGGAGTGGTATTATGAGGTAAACACCTTTTTAGATTACTGTTTCAAATGGAATCAATTTCGGAGTTGTTTCTCCTTTGAAGATTTAACCATTTCAGTCAAATTAGAAATCAATATTTTGCATATTATTTCCTGCAGGGTAATAAACAAGTTATACAGAGTACATGCTTATTTGTATATTTATTCAGCTTGCGTTCGCTAAAAGGCACACTCCTTATCCCTGAGCCAGAGTAGGCGTGGCATTTGAACATGGCACGGAATTGGTTACTCGTGGAATATTCCAGTCTGGGACAACTGTCATCTTGTTCTGTGTTGGACAGAGACACGACAACAATTGTGTCAAGATGAAAATATCTCACCAGAAGCATAGACACCTTCAGGTTAAGTTGAAACATGCGGCCACGCCTACCCGGTCTCAGGGATTTCGAGTATAGCCCTGGTAGCCCTACCAGGGCTACCGCCAAGAAAAAATTAGCTAGACATGAACATGTAGAGTGAGACGGGAAAAAATAATATAAAAAGAACGTCAACATTAAGGAAAAGCAATGAAATGAATGAAAGGTTGAAGGGAGCCACAAAGCGCAGGAAAAACCAGGAAAAGCCAACAAATCTTTCTCGAAGGCGATTACGACTCCCACCCCCCTTCGGCAACCAAACACGGCCCACCTTGCACGGATCCTAAAGTGCGAAGTGCCTGTGGGCAAGGACATGCCTCAAGTAAGCAAAGTGACCCTACTTTGTTTCGAAAGTAAATCAGAAAATATGAAAGCCACAAGAAATGAATGAAATAAGAAGGCCTCAAAAAACAAATAGCTCGCCTCCAGTCCCCCAACTAAAAAGTGGTCGAGGGTTAAGCGGTAAAACACTGCTGCTTCAGTTGTGACTAAGACAAATATGTAAAATCGTGGGATCGAATCAGCTCAAAGATAAGTAGGACCAGATGATTCTATGGCACGTACTCCAAAGCCACTCATCATGCAGACCTGCAGTTTTGCCGAATTGGTTTTCCTCAACCCTTGATTTTAAAGTAGTCGAACAGGTGGCCAGCGCTATTTGATAAGAAACTTGAAGGCATTATTTGGCGCTCGTGTAACATGACCGGCCATGTCGGTGCAGACCACCCAAGGCGCTTACATCCACTAAGAACATCTTTTTTTCATCACAAATGGTCAGGAACAGGAAAAGCTGGCGCATTCCGGCAACGGAGGGGGGGGGCATTTGCACTTTCGCTGAACTCCTTGTGCAAACTGCGATTACCGTAACCCTGTGAACTATTACATACAGCGCCCTGCCATACTGCCCAAGCGTCCCTGACTTGTATAGATCAAGAGAAAATCGATAAAATTAGACAGAGCAAATGTAAGTGAACCCTCAC